ATCACTCCAAAGAACACAGTTTAGAACTTTGCAACAGGTTTTTATTTTTGCTTTATATCTATTACAGTGTTTGAAACCTAAAGAAATACATTTTCTCTTCAAATTTGGATGTGTATATAAATATCATTTGTCTGGACTCAGCACACTCAATGCCATGGTTTCTTGGCCTATATCTGCTCTGAAATCATCAAGCTTTGTCTGTCTACCCAGGGGCCCTGAGAACATGGAAAACAATAGCTAGAGTTTATAGTTCTTAAAAGCAAAATAAATTTGGAGAGATAAACCAGTGAGGAAACAGGTTTGATTCACCTTCCAAGGGTTTGTAGCTGGGAACCCAAGATGTTTTTGAGGGACATCTGCTCTGTCCTGGGTAACTGGGACCTCACACATTATCTGCTTCCTTAGTGGTCCAACCAAAGGCAATTCCCACAAAAACTGGCCGAAAGAGCCAATACCCAACTCCAGGGCTTGAGGATTCTCATCATGGCAGTTCTCTCTTCCCAAACCCAGAGGCTGAACATCTGACCTAGGTAGGGATGCAGGGCTTGAGTTTAGCAGAGGGGTTCAGGTATGTCTAACGTGCACAGCGGCAGTCGGGCTGGCCTAGAAGTAGTCAGGTGGGCCCAAACACACTGGAGGCCTTATGACACACTACACAAACCTTCTTCCTGGGGTGTTCTAGGTCCAGAATCTAATGGTGGTGCTTCTCTCAGCCAGGTTTGCTTCTGAACATAGCCCAGGCCTGATGCAAAATGCCCTCTCAGAGGAAAACTAACAGCTTTCATTTACAGACTTATTTGGTTTGTACTGACCTGAAAAGTTTTCCCTTACCATGGTCTTCATCTGGGGGTGGGGCTAGGGAACAGTCAGTGGGATGACTGAATCCTTTATGAAGGCCTTGGCCAAAGAACAGCTATTGCCTACCACATGGATCCCTGCAAGGCCCAATTCTCAGCTTGCTGGCTTAACAAAAAAATACAAAAGTTAAGACAGAAAAAATACTGGACAAGATTGGTCTAAAACGTGCAATCCTAAAACAGCTGTGGAAGAAACCTACTCTGAGCAGTTTCTCAAGTCTCACATGTACTTATTTCTAGGACAGTCCTACCTGGAAGATGTTGCTAGCTTTTCCTATGGCTGTGAGCCTTTCCCATGGTTCGTGCCCTGAGCCTTGCACCCCTCCCCAGCCTGCCAAGGAGGCCCCCAGCCAGCACCCTGTGGGTCCCTGCAGTGCCTGCAGGGACCTGCAGAATCTGGCTCCGTGCCTTCAACTGAGAATCCAGAACCGAAGCCCAGATGATGTATCTACTGAGGAATATTCAAGATGATGGACACCAAACTGAGTGAGTCTTGGGGAGGAGAGACATGGCCTGAACAAATGAGCTGAGAGGCCTTCAAAGAGGGGTGTGTGTGGGAGGAGGAAGTATTGATAGGCATTCATCTCCTTCCCTTCTATTTTGCTAGAAACAGGTAAGTCTACTGTAGAGTGTAGGGGGAAGGCAGGCAGACATGAGAAAATGGAAGTCTAGTTTATTCTGCTAGAGTTTTCAGATTAAACTGGTCTGGCTTGAGGGAAATGGAAAGTCAGTGCCCGAGAGCCTTCTTTTGCTCTTCCCTGACTAAGCATGGTAGCAGCTGCTATCTGTGTAGTTCAGCTTAAACAGGGCTGTTGGAAAATCTTCCAAGGGAAAAGAGAATGGGAGTAGATCTAGGGGTTCTAGGTAAAGGGGAACACAAAGGGTCCCTGAAAGCTGAAGTCTTCTACATCTGTTCCGTGGAAGGGTTCTTTGTACCCACTGCCGGAAGTAACCAGGCTGGCCAGGTGAGGATGGAACCAGTGTGGTTCTAACAAGGTTGCACCCAATACCAAGGCCAGCCAGTCACTGGGGATACCTCAGTCTTCTAAGACCAGAGGTCCTGTTAATACTAGTGAAGATGGGTGGGTGTGGGATGTCCAGAAGGGTTGGCAAAAACGAATAGCTGTTCAAAACAGTACTTGAACACTTTAGCTAAGAAAACGGTTCCTTGTCCCCTTAATCCACACCTGAACATCACCAACCCACCAGAGATCTTAAAATGCAAATAACCATGTGCCAAAACATTAACCTTTCAAATACACGTCTTCTCAGGCTATTCCCTACAGCAGGCTGGGAAGCCCCTCCATCCCTGTAACATCCATTCAGAAATCTGTCAGAAAGCTCTGCCTTCACCTGGGCCAGGGTCTGCAGTCCAGATGGGGGCTGTCCACGAAGAGCAGCTGTCAAGCCTGGGCTATAAAGAAACAATATTTTGCTTCCCAAGATGAACAAAGGAGAGGGGGACACAAAAGATGATGTTACCGTCTCTGGGGGCTGGAAGAACTTCACCTGTTAACTGAAAGGGGGGTCAGAGGAATATAATGGGAAAACATAGTCTGAGGAAGACACTAAACAAAGGAAAGCTCCTAGAGGCCATGTTTATCTGACGAGAAGTATGTCCTCCTGTGCCCTGGGAGACACTTCAGCCTTTGGAGTCCTTGGAGAAAGCAGCCTTCAAGCAGTAACTGATAATCAGAAGAGTCTTCTATTTAGTACATGGCCAAGATCTGAAGCAAAAGCAGAACAGTTGGGGAAGGCAGGATGTGTATGTCTCACACAGACGTAAGAATTTGGCCCCAGTGTCAGGGATTTAACTATTGCTAGAGATACAAGAAGTAGTTCTTACTCAAATGCTCTGGCTGTTGGACAAGGTCAAGGGGTGGGGGGTGACTTTCTTTTGAACTGTAGGAGTAATGGAGTCAGCAGGCCAAGTGAAAAGGGTCCTGCCCCTTGCCTACCAGGGAGAGTGGGGCTTGGTAATTATCATGCCCAAACTGAAAGTAGCATCTGACTCACTCAGGTGGTATGGCACTGGTATCACTTTTCAGTGATAACCACTAATCAACAACCATTTTTCTCAGAAAATGCCTCTGGAGTTGGATCTCAATACTTGAAAAAGAGGACAGATTCAAAACCAATGGGCAAAAGGACCTGAACCTTTTATCTGTAAGCAGAGTGACACGGATTTCACCTGAGCCAGAGGTGGGATATGCAGGAATGGGAGCAAGAATGGCATTGTTTCTGGGGAAGGGAAAATATAGCTTGGACCAGGGCATCTCTAACTGATCTCTGTGGGGAAGCAGCGACAGGGCAGAGTGTGCCTTCAGCTCCACCACTGATCTACACTTAGCCAACAACTTCCTCCACTCACCCCATCAGCTGGGCTTTACTTCATTACTATATAATCCATTGACACATACAGGCAAGCCAGTGAGGCACTGCAGTAGCTCTACTCAAAGGGAAAAGGCAAGTCATTGGGATTCTAAGTGTCACAAGAAGGGCAATATCCAAACCATGTACAGGGTTCCCAATCCAGGAAGATATCAGTCACTCTCAAAAAAGTCCTGAGGCTGCTGTATTTCTGTAGTAAGAGAGGCAGCCACCTGTGATAACTTACATGGACAAGGGCATTTGAGACTGAATCTGAGGAGGCAGACGGCTGTCTTGGTTTCCTGATGCGAGCAGGATGTTCAGCAGTAAGGACTAGAGTGGTAGACTTCACTAGGCCCTGGAGCCCTTGCTCCCTTTAGCTACTAGGACAATCAGACCAGGCTGACCTGCGATATAAAGGCTCCAGAGCTAAGGGTTTGTCCAGGTGGTGGTCCGGAACCCAAGCAGAGAGACGGATCAAGGTCAGGCTTCCTGAGCAAAAGAGCTTCCATATCTCTTTTTGGTCTTCCTCACAGTATCCTACTTACAGAAGTTACAGAGACAGTTCTTCCTCTTGAAACCAATTAAGATTGACCTACCTAATATATAGCATATAAAAAAATACATAACTTTTTGACATTCTCTCCTTTGGAAGTAAAATATACATGATCCATCTATGGAAGAGGAAGAAGAAGGAGAAGAAAGGCCAAAGGCAAGGATCCCCTGGCTATCCCAATACATGACACTCTCACTCCAACCTCCTCTGCAACTTATGGGTCACCGGAGCAAGGACTTTCTCCTCAGGAGAAAGCAAGGACCACAGCCCTCTGTCGTGTGCTTAGGAGAAAATACAGCTACGTCAGAGGTTCATTTCAACTCTGAGGGGAATTTTCAAGTAAACAAATGAAGTCAGGTCGCACCACTGGAAGGTGGGTAGGAAACATGGGATCAGTAGCGACACATGGGAAGCCCTGTCTGAAGGCCTGTGTTCCTCCTCGCTCACTCCCACTGGTGTACATGCCCCAGGAGAGTGAAGGGGATCTCCCAAACTAAAGAGGTCTGGGCAAGGGGTTAGAGGGAGGGAGGGGCCTTTTGTCTCATGGTGACCTCCCCCTGTCTCTAGTCCCAGACAATGCTGGCAGCTGGGTTTCCTAATACCAGGAACTCATGGCTCTGGGAAAGAGCAATCTTAATACAAGAAAAATGTGCAAAAGAAAAAATTAAATAACTCAATCCAAGCATACAAGATTAATATTCTGTCAGAGCAAGAACACTTTGTTTTGGATTTCTCCCCTCCCTTCCCACCCCCCCACCTCTGGAATATTCCATCTGCTCAAGTACCCAAGATAAGAGTTACAGAGATCAGGGCAGAGGACTGGGAAGGATGAAGGAAGATAATAGGGAAGGAAGTCACCACTAAAGAAGAAAAAAATAAAAATAAAAAGGTGCAAAATTGGTTACCTCAGTCCTCCTTTGTCTACCCCTGGGCTCCTGGGTTAAAGACATATGTGCAGCCAAAATATAGTGTAAGGAAGAAAAACCCAACACGTCCCCTTCTTGTCACAAAACCCAAACGTGAGCCTCAGATGGTTCTGTCTGTCCAGAGGGTGCTCCCTCCAGGGAAGGGGTCGGAGCAGGTCAAGAGCACAGTTTCCAGGGCAGCAGAGGTGTGTGGTGGCTGATGGTGGGGGGGCTGGTTTCCCGCCCACCAGAGGGCTGCTTTTCCGCTGGTTGGTGGTGCTTCCCATCCCCTCCCCTCCCTGGAGGCAGACATTATAGCTGGAAGCCCTCCATGGGGGCCTCAGGCTGCTGGAAGATGAACTGCTGTTGCGTCTCATCCACTTGGGGAGCCAGGCTGCTATCATCATCTTCTACGCCAAAGTAGTGCTCAATGAGGTCGAAGGCCTTCTGGTAGATCTCCTGGTTCTCATGGCTCTGGAGGAACTCAATTTTATCCAAGCCTATGGTGGCAAGAAGGAAGCAGGGAGAAGAATGAACTTGGAGTGTTTTACTTTGGGTCCATAAAACATGAATGTATTTTTCCTTCCCTGAGGTATATTAGCATTTATAAACACAAGTAATATATCAGGTCTTTCTTTGATCTGAAAGAGGAGAGCTGAGATCTTTACTTAAAATTACATAACCCCAAAGGAAAACAACTAAAATGTCAGTTATTAATCGGTGGTTTAACCTGGACAAATTGTTAACCATTTCGAATCTCCTGGAGATGAGCAGTGAGTCAATCCAGTACCCCTAACAGAACTTGCCAAGGAAACCATAAACAAAACAAAAAGATAACCTGTAGAATGGAAGAAAATATTTGCAATTGATACAACTGACAAGGGCTTAATTTCTAAAACATATTAACAGCTCACATAGCTCAATAAGAACAACAAAAAACCCAACCCAATCAAAAAATGAGCAGAAGACTTAGAGAGATATTTCTCCAAAGACATATAGGTGGCCAAGAGGCACATGAATAAGATGCTCTTCATCAATAATTATTAGGGAAATGGAAATCAAAACTATAATGAGGGTATCACTTCACACCAGTCAGAATGGCCATCATCAAAAAGTCTACAAGGGAATTCCCTGGAAGTCCAATGGTTAGGACCAAGCTGTTTCACTACCAGGGCCTTGAGTTCAGTCCCTGGTCAGGGAACTAAAATCCTGCAAGCCAAAAGGTATGACAAATAAAAAACCAAAAACAAACCAAAAGTCTACAAATAATAAATGCTGGAGAGGGTGTGGAGAAAAGGGAACCCTCCTGTATTGTTGGTGGGAATGTAAACTGGGGTAGCCACTATGGAGGTTCCTTTAAAAACTAGACCTACCATATGATTCAGTGATCCCACTCCTGGGCATGTATCTGAAGAAAACTACTTTGAAAAGATATATATATACACCCCAATGTTCATAGCAGCACTATTTACTATAGCCAAGACATGGAAGCAGCCCGACTGTCCCATCAACAGATGAATGGGTCAAGAAGACGTGTGTACATTTACAATGGGAAATTACTCAGCCATAAGTAAGAATAAAATAATGCCATTTGCAGCAACATGGATGGACCCAGACATAATCATACTAAGTAAAGTAAATCAGACAAAGACAATTAATCACATATGGGGAATCTTCACAGACATAGAACATAAACTTATGGCTAACAAAGGGGGAAAGGTGGAGAGGGATAATTATGAGTGTGGGATTAGCAGATACAAACTGTGTGTGTGTGTGTGCGCGTGCGCATGCGTGCGCAAGTGTGAGCTGGCTCAGTTGCATCCCACTATTTAACACACTCCTCTGTCCACAGAATTTTCCAGGCAAGAATACTGGAGTGGGTTGCCATTTCCTTCTCCAGGGCCTCTTTATGATCCAGGGATCAAACCCGCATCTCTTGTGTTGGCAGGAGGATTCTTTACCACTGTGCCACCTGGGAAGCCTTAGACACAAACTACTATTAACAAAATAGATGAACAACAAGGACCTGCTGCACAGCACAGAGAACTTACCTAATATCTTGTAATAACTGTGTTTATAATGGAAAAACAAAAGAAAGGAACTTGCTAGAAACTCAGCTGAAAACATGTCTTCCAGCTCCTTATCCTATTATCAATTCTGGAGCTTTATTTTTGCATCTGTATCATAACCTACTTACCGGGTACAGCCTATCAGAAAGAGAACAGATCTCTTGCTCCTCAGAAGAAATGGAACTTGTGGGACAAAACTTGGCATTCAATGGTGACCACACTCTCTCACATAGATATACCACTTCAGAGGTTCTGAACTAGAACTCAGGGTTCTGAAGTCCACTTACGGCAGACATTAGTTTTGGGGAGGGCACATACCATAGGCCTCCTCGATGAGGCCACAGTAGGGATTGACCCCTGAGCCACTGCGCTTGCCCTCTTGCTCTCCAAGCCGAAGGATGTTCTCCAGTCCATTGAGGGCCACCTGCACGATCTTTGAATCCATCACAGTCAGCAAGTCGCACAGGGGTTTGATGCAGCCCAGGGAGACCAGGTACCTGAAGGGCAGAGACCAGGTAAGTTCAAGAGAAGAAAAGGGAGGTGCCAGACTGGTGCTCTGGGGTCCCTGGGTCTCCTTCACACACATCGATGCTCTCAGCAATTCACTCTGCCTGAGCCCTCATAAACACGCAGGCTATGTCTCAGTCTCTTCACCCCTCAATACTATTGGTTCAGTTCATTTCCATGTAGAAGGCCGCCACAGTTTCCTCCTCCTGGTCTCTAATGTGTCCCTAGAGCAGTACTATCTACTCTGAAACATCCTTTCCCTGCTTAAAATTGTCACAGTCCAAGCTCTACTCTCAAGACAATCAGGCTCCTAAGCTTTTTTAGCTTCATCTCACATTATTCCCTTCCAAGAATACGACATTCCAGTCAAACATGTAAAGGTCTCTACGTTTCTGATTTTTGTACTTTTACTTATGCTTTTTCCTGTCCAAAATGCCATTCACAACCCTGTATCCTCAAAAGCTTAATTAACTCAATGGCTATCCTTTTCTCCTAAGGTTTTATAATATGCTGAATATACTCCCCCTTCCTAAGCTACAAGCTGAAGGCAAGGCACTTCTCTAGTTCCCACCACTCCAACTCAAGTTCATAATGGAAAGCAGAATCAAAGAGCATCTTCACACAAAATAGCTTTCCTATTTACTTATTTCCTATTTACCTAAGGATCACTGTCAAAAATGATTTCCCAAGGAAACTGCTCTGAATGAGCCATCGCATGGTTCTGTTTCATTTGTATGAGTAATTGTGAATTATATAGATTTAAATTCTCTTGTGGATAGAAAGAGGCAGAAGAGAGATGAATGTCTCTTAAGTGTCCATTCTTTAGGAGGGAAAAGAGGCTATACTCTATCAGCTTATCAGTTAAACCCTATGAACAGGGGCAGACCTATCCCAGCAAAGGCAATTTAGAGATCATATATAACATAAGCTGAGAGGTAGAGTACACATATCACTCAATGCGAAGGACTGTGGTACCTGATTTGTTCAGGGGTTCCTCCTGATGTGGCATTGGTGATGGCCCAGGCTGCCTCTTTCCTTGTACGGAACTCTGCTTTCTGAAGGATTTCGATCAATACAGGGAAGATGTTTGCATCTATGACAGCCTGAGAAGAATTGGGGGTTCGGGGGTGGGATATGGGGGAAAAAAGTCACTTCAAGGAGAATAAACAAATCTAGAACACAAATCAGCTAAGATTTAGACACATTCCCCTTCCTCAAAGTTCTCCTTTGTCCTTCCCATATACGTAAGGTGGTGCAGAAGAACCTGGCTTCTGCTCCACAGAATCTTTGACCAATAGCATACATTGATCCCAATTTCAAAAGAGAAATTTTTTCGTCTAGAAGGCAATATCCCACAAAGTCTCATGATCCCAGGCCTTTCTACCACCGCTCCTCAACCTCCCAACTGCTTGTTCTACCTGTATCTGAGCCCTGTTGCCAGCAGTGATATTTGAAATGGTCCAACAAGCTTCCTTTCGGATTGACTCCTTGGAGCTGCTCAGGAGGTGGAGGAGGCAAGGGAGGGCTGAACAGTTAAGAATGACCTAGAACATCAAAAGTATAGGCAACAAAAGACAAGATAAACTGGACTTAATCAAAATTTAAAACTTTTGTGCACTGAAAGACATCTTTCAACAGAGTGAATTACACAAGTCACAGAATGGGATAAAGTATATTCAAATCATATATCTGATAAAGATGAATATCCAGAATTAAAATGGGCAAAGGATATAAACAAACATTTCTCCAAAGAAAACAGGCAGGGGGCCATAAAGCACATGAAAACATGCCAGACACCATTAATCATTAGGGAAATGCAAATCAAAACCTCAGTGAGATACAACTTCATACTTCTTAAGTTAGTTATTCTGTTTTTCTGGCTGAGCTGGGTCTTCACTGTGACGTGCAGGCTTAGTTGCCCCACAGCATGTGGGATCTTAGTTCCCCAACCAGGGATCGAACCAGAGTCCCCTGCATTAGAAGGCGGGTTCTTAACCCTCAGACCCCAGGGAAGTCTCTAGGATAGCTATTCTTTTTTTTTTTTTTAGGATAGCTATTCTTAAAAAATCCAGGCAGTGTAATTGTTGGTAAAGATGTGGAGAAATTGGAACCTGGTACATATCTGGTGGGACTGTAAAATGGTATAGCCATTGTGCTAAACAGTATGGTGGTTCCTCAAAAGTTTTAAACATAAAATTACCCCATGACCCAATAATTCCACCTCTAGGTATATATCCCAAAGAACTGAAAACAGGGACTCAAACAGAGATTTGTATGCCAATATTCGATGCAACATTACTCACACTAGCCAAAAGGTGAAAGCAACCCAAATGTCTATCAACAGATGAATGAATAAACCAAATGTGGCACATGTGTACCAAGGAATATTATTCAGCCACCAAAAGGAATGAAGGTGTGAAATACTAAAATATGTTTGAAAACATGCTAAGTAAAATAAGTTGAAACAAAAGAACAAATATATATGGTTTGGCTTATGTGAGGTTTCTAGAGAAGTCAAACTCCCAAGAGACAGAAAGTAATGTGGTAGTTACCAGGGGATGAGGGGAGGGGGAAATGGGAAGTTATTTAAAGAGCACAGAGTTTCAGTTCCAAATGATGCAGAAGTTGTGGAGATGGATGGTCATAATGGTTAAATAACAATGTGAATGCACTTACTGGCACTGAACTATACTTAAAAACAGGATATTTTAAATTATGAATACTTGTTTACAAGGCATGATCACACACACATAATAAGAATGATCTAGAAAATAAGTGTGGGCTTGAGTGAGATTGCTCACCTCATTTTGATATTTGTTAAGAATCCCACAGAATTATGCAGACTACTGAAGATTCAAAGATTAACCAGCTCTCCAGCTGTGTCTAGAGAAACCTTGCATACTGCGCCCTCTATGGAGGCATTACTACCAGAGGACTAGACTAACATGAGGCTAACCACAGGATCCTAGAGGTTTAGTTAGGAAGCAGGGGTGAGGGTCCATAGATTTTAGTGTTTCAAAGGTACCATAGCAGAAAAGCTGTTAATTACTTTACAATGTCCCAGGTAGTAAGTCAAGTATTTCCATTTAGTTTTTTGTTCAATAGCACCCAATGGATAATGACTTGCTTCCAATTTATATAAAAAATGAAGGCAACCAAATTGCCCATAAATCACAGAAAGTGGCAGAGTTGGAATTTTTCCTTCAAGTCTATGCTTTCTCTCCTAGATCACACTGCCTCCCATCAGGACTAAAGTCTACGGAAGGAAAGGATTTTGTCCACAGACAGCTCTCCTCCTTCTCCTTACCTGGGTCTGGATGTCATCCCCGGTGACAATGTTACCCACAGCTCTCAGAGCAGGAGAAGCCACTTTGTTATCGTTGTGCCTACAGAGGAGGGTGATCTGGTCAGTAAAGGGCCAGCACCAAGCTTTCAGCTCTGCTGACCACCAAGGCCTGTAGCACTCATGGGTCCAGACTTTGCACAGGGCAGCAGACTGCCAACTGCAGTTCTCAGCTTGGAATCTGTACCCTTTCTAACTGGGATCACTCACATGAGAAGCTCAACCAATCTTCGGCAGACTCCAGAGTCTATGACTGCCTGGATCTTCTCATTGGGGCCATCAGATAGATAAGAGAGGGCCCAGCAAGCATCTGCCAGCAAGTCTGAGTCGCTGCTGAAGAGTAGGCGAGACAGCACGGGCAAACAAGGGGAGACCTATTGGAAGCAGAGAGAGAGGGATTCATAGGAGGACAAGGTTACATCAGCTCTACCACTGAGCCTAACAGTCCAAGCCCTCCTCTACTGAGTAAGTCTAAGACCCAGAGATTTCTACTACATTAAGCCATCAGGCCCACATTTTCACTTTACCACCCCGGCACAGTAGATCACCTACTTCACTGATGACTGCCTCTTTCAGTTTCCCGTGGATTGAGACTCCAAGGGTTCCCCAAAGACTTGAAAACTCCCATGTCAAAATTCCTCCATATGAAGGAACCTGCTATTACTCAGGAACTGGTAAGAAGCTCTCTTACCTTTGCAAACTCTGGGGGTGGGTTCTTCCCTCGGCAGAGGTTTGACAGGGCCCAGACCGCGTTCCGGGTCATTGTCAGTCGTGTGGACTTGGTAAGGAGTCTGAAGGAGACAGAAAAGCCAGATCCTGAGCAATGATGCCCTTTGCATACAGCTGTTGTCTGTGAACCCCAGGAGCATACCCAACCAGACCCCTACAACTCTAGCTGCCTGTCTTTTCCTACCCGTAATTTAAGCGAGTTAGTTTGGTCCAGGAGGCCAACCTACATCTTCATAGGGGATTAGGATCATCTGTGGTTGGTAAGCCCATAGCGAATAAGGACAGAAAGCTGGACCTTGAATAAGCATGCTAAATGAAGTTTTAGTGTGAGGGCTTTAGCTGTGCAGTACGGACTGACTTTCTGTGACAGGCCCACAAAAGAGTTCTAATAGTAGCTCATGAGGTTTTGACTTCTGAAGAAAAACTCCCTCTGCTTTGGTTTAGATGTAGCTCTACTTTAAGGGCATGGAGGAAGGGATGGGAGCATCCATATGACCCTGCATGGGGTCTTAGATCTGTGGTTTACAACAGAGCTCTCCAATGTACCTATGCATAAACCCATAGAAAATCAATGCATTTTGCAGAGAAAGTTAGGTTTTTCCAGATGGGCTACTCCTTCCTCTCTCCTCTGGCTCAGCAGTGAGCCAAGTATGACAAACAGGAGATTCTACAGTGCTGTGAAGCGAGAAGTACAGACACAGACCAGTGGCACAATCTTCTTACTCTCAAAAGATAACCTTTCACTGTCAATCAGAATGCACTTCTAGCATTTTTTGATTTACTCATCAACTTAAGGTAAACTGTCCGCCAAAGATCTGCTACATGGCTGCCCTACAGATGCCCCAGGTGCAGATGACAGTAATTACTCACGTTAACAAAGGATTGAGGATGGAACAGTTCAAGACGTAATCTCGGCAAACGGAGCTGTCTCCAGCTATGTTTCCCAGTGCCCAGACTGCCTAAAAAAGGGAGGGTGGAACTGTCACCCACAGAACCTACTGGCTTCTGTGTGTACTTTATACTCACAACTACAGAGTGACACACAGCAGTAACCTGGACGAACATCCCATCAAGTTTGAAACACACCAAATAAGCTCAGGTACCCTCCTTGCTGACATCCTTATTGAGTACTTGCTCTGTGAGGACTTTTCCTCTGAGAATTCCTGGGTTTTGGTGGGGGAAAGCAGGCTGCCACTGTATTGCAACCAGAGAAGCCAAACCAAAACCTCCTTATCTCCCATAACAGGAGAAAACGATGGGAAACTTGCATTCTTGTAGCCTCATAGGACCAACCCTATATGTATTAATAGAGGAAAAATCCCCAGGACCACTCCACTTCTAGTCAACCAGTAAAACTCCAGCAGAAGAAATGGAAGCAGGGTTTTTATGATCCGCAGATGTTAAGAAATGGGTACTGTGGTGTCTTTTTCCCAACACCACCTCTGACACGCAACATGTGGAGTTTTCTTCTACATCAGTTCTCTCTGGGAATGTCACCTTCCCAGTACAGTGAGTGTTCACCAACCCAGAAGTTCTTTTCAAGATTTTTTTATAACCCAATATTTACCCCCTCTAACATCCCTAGGGAGGTTGGGGAGGAGGGGTGGGAAGACTGGGGGTGGGGTGGGAAGACTGGGGGTGGGGTGGGGCTGAAAGTTCCTATTCTCTAATCCCTAATTTGGTCTTTCTGATGACTAGCCCTCCCTTCCTGAAGCTATCTAGGGCCCCACCCTGAGTCATCTCATTAGCACACACTCAGGTGCTCTTTAGGGATGACAGAAAAAAATCACTAAGAAAATCCCAAGGTTTTTAGGAGCTCTTTGCTCTTAACTGGTGATAAAGACAAAAATACATTTTTTATTACACCACTAACATCATCAAGAATTAAGTCAAATTTGGGTATTACCTGTTCCTGTACATCCTCAAAGTCCGAGTTAAGCAGCTCTATAAAAATGGGGACTGCCCCTGCTTCAATGACAATTTTGGTCTGCTGAGAGGTTCCAGAAGCAATGTTTGTTAGAGCCCAGGCAGCTTCAAACTGAAAGTGAGATTAAAGCCATGACTGAGAGGTCATTCCAGACAGAGCAGCCTTGCCTACCAGCTGGCTCAGGACAGTTAAGTCTCCTGCCCCTGACTTGGAAAAAAACAACCACACAAGCTTTTCCCTCTTCTCCTTTAAATGAAAGGAAGAATTACTGGCAGTGACATAATAGGAAGACAGAACTAGGCTTCTATGGTTCCAGGTCTAGTCCCGCACTATTACAGCCCCCTTGAGTCCATGGGCAAGCCACGCTTTATTTTTGTTTTTCCTAGAGGAAGAGAGGCTGAAAAAGTTAGGAGAAGGAGAAAGAATGAAAGAAGACTCATGAAGAGTAGTGAAACCTGGGAGCAACACCAAATCTTTACTATTCCCCCACCACCTCAGTTGTTGGTGGTGGTGAGTCGCTAAGTCGTGTCCGACTTTTTTGCAACCCCATAGACTGAAGCCTGCCAGGATCCTCTGTCCGTGGGATTTCCCAGGCAATAATACTGGAGTGGGTTGTAGTAAGCCATGTTTTATTTCTTGAACTTCACTTTATTCATTTCTGAAACCAGGATAAAAGTGAGACAGGTCTCTCAAGGATCCTTTCAGCCAAGTTTTAATAAGTTCTAGTAGAGTGGCTCATTACTCATTTGTGAGAAGAGAGACCCAGAGAAGCAAGGTGCTTCACTCCAGAATTAGAAATGGACTAGAACGTTTTATGTATGTATATGTATACATACATACATACATATATATATATTCTATATTACAACCTCTGAATAATGAATCTGTCATATTTTGCTACCTTTCCTTTGAGACTGTTTTAGGGAAGAATTTGTGGCTCTCTTACTTGAGGCCAAGCCCTCTGAGGTAACAGCATCTCCTTAAATGTTTCATCTTCAGAGATGTGTCTGCAGAAGCATGCCATAGCAATTTCTTGGCAAAAGGGTGTTCATCTGCCACCTCACCACCCCAGGCCTCACCTGTAATGTACAATTCTCATTTCTCTTCAGAAACTCCACAAACCGATCCACCACTCCTGGAGTGTTGATAACTTCGTCTATTGGAGGACTGGGCTCTGGGAGAGGGACAAAGGAAAGAGAGAAGTCAGAAGGGCTGGCTGATGCATTCACTGGGATCAGTCCGCCATCCTTCCTAAATACTCCTGACCATCCTTATAAACACTCCCAAGCTTCCTTCTGGTGAAGTAGTTTTAACAATAGCAGGTCATTTTTGAACTGTATCAAATAGTTGAGAATCAAAAGAGTAAAACCAATCCCAATTTAAGTATGCTCACCTTTGGCTTTCTAAATCTAAGCAAGTAAATAACCTTACTTATCTAAGCAAGCAAGAAGTCAGGGAGAGATGACCAAAGTAGGTCCAACACTAGTCTAAACACTTCCCTTCTAAGATCAGCATTCTTTTCTTGGGAGGAAGAAAAGTCCTCCCAAGGTCAAAGGACAAAAGTCCTTGGGAGAAAAGAGAATATTTTCCCCATCATACATCAAATTTTTACTGAGCAAAAAAATATGTTCCAGACGTGGTTCTGGGTACCAAGAATACAACAGTGAACAAAACCAAAAGTCTCTGTCCTCATAGAGCTTACATCCATCCTAGTGAGAAGAAATACTGTTATGTTTGAAGGTAATAAGTGTAATAGGAAATAAAATAGGTAGGGCAAGGTAAGGAGATTAAAAATGCAGCAGGGGGTGGGGGAGCTGCAATTTTAGATAGGGTGTCAGGGTAGGCTTTGCTGGGAAAGGTAGGCTCTAACCACAGAAATGAAGCAGCCGTCACACAGATTGTTCTTCTTTGGTTGCTGAGTTGTGTCTGACTCTTTTGCAACCCCGTAGCCTGCCAGGCTCCTCTGTCTATGGGATTTTCCAGGCTAGAAGAATACTAGAGTGGGTTGCTATTTCCTTCTCCAGGGGATCTTCCCGACCCAGCGATCAAACCCACTTCTCCTGCACTGGCAGATGGACTCTTTACCACTGAGCCACCAGGGAAGCCCTGTTACACAGATATCTGCAACTAAAGGGTATCAAGCAGAGGGAATAGCCCATGCAAAGGTAAGAATGTGCCTGGCTTGTCCAAGGATGCCACAGCCAGCAGGGCTAGAGCAGAATGAGTGAAGGATAGTACTTGATGAGGTCAGTGAGAGGAAATGAGGCTAAGTCATGCAGGCCCTCTCTGGGGAAGTCTAGGCTTTGTACCTTTGGAGAGCAGTTTCCGGAATTTCTGTGTGGTTGCTAACTGCAGGTCAGGATCATCAGAAAAGAGCATCTCCACCATCTCTCTTGTGATCACACTCTCCTAGGACATAAGACAGGTTCATGATTTTGCAAACCAACACGAGAGCCAGATATAAGCCCATAATCCTGTTTGGCATCCTGCTTTCTAAAGACTTGAGGGCGGGGCTTCCCTGGTGGTCCAGGGGTTGAGAATCTGCCTGTCAGTGCAGGAGACATGGGTTCAGTCCCTGGTCTGGGAAGATCCCACATGCAGAGGAGTAATTAAGCCCATACGCCACAACTACTGAGCTTGTGCTCCTAGAGCCCATACACTGTAACGAGAAGCTACTGCAACGAGAAGCTCTTGTACCCCAACCAGAGAGTAGCCGTCACTAGAGAAAAGTCTACGCGCAGCAATGAAGACCCAGCAAAAAAAAAAAAAAAAAAGACTTGAGGGCAAGAGGAAGGCACAACAGCAGGCTCAGATGTTTAATCCATAGCTGCTTCAAGTTGGAACATTTAGAAGTGATTCTTAACCTCTGAGGCAACTGAAAGCTCCTCTTAAATGTTTCCTCTGGTGTGTTCACCAGAGACAAATCCCTGTTGACTCCTTAAGATGACTGGGTATTAGGTTGGTGCAAAAGTGATTGCTGTTTTGCACTGTTGAACTTTGCCGCCTGATATTGGAATACATTCTTAAATAAATGTGGTTATGTTATACATCACTTTAATGTGCATTTATCACTTTGTTTTTTTGCTAATGACTTATTCAGTTCAGTTCAGTCGCTCAGTCGTGTCCGACTCTTTGCGACCCCATGGACCACAGCAGGCCAGGCCTCCCTGTCCATCATCAGCTCCCATTTTATTACTTGTTGTTTATTTTATATGTATTTTAGACTAGAGAAATGATGTTAGACAAAAAGCAAATTTGAGCGATTTTCCTTTTCGAGTTCAAAATGGGTCGTAAAGTGGTGGAGATAACTTGCAACATCAACAACGCATTTGGCCCAGGAACTGCTAATGAATGTACAGTGCAGTGGGTTCAAGAAGTTTTGCACCCTGGTACCCACCAGGAGCGTCCACATCACCATCCCCTTCTCTCCTTTATTGCTGTTAATGACAATAAGATGACCTCCTCTACTATTTGAAAACTATTTTTATGTAATTAATGTACGCTTTCTTGTTTATAAATGCCTGATTTTTTTTTTTTTAAAGAAGATTTGCAAAGGAGACGAGAACCTTGAAGATAAGGAGCACAGTGGCCAGCCATCGGAAGTTGACAACACCAATCAAGAGGATCACTGAAACTTATCCTCTTAAATCCAACTACATGAGAAGCTGGTGAAGAACTCAATGATGACCACTTTATGATCATTTGGCATTTGAAGCAAATTGGAAAGGTGATAAAAACACAATAAGTGGGTGCCTCAAATAAAAAAGATCGTTGTTTGGAAGTGTCATCTTCTCTTATTATATGCAACAACAATGAATCATTTCTTCATTGGATTGTGATGTGCGACAAAAAGTGGATTTTCAACTGGTGATGACCAGCTCAGTGGCTGGACCATGAATAAGCTTCCAAAGCATTTCCCAAAGCCAACTTACACCAAAAAAGGATCGTGGTCACTGTTTGGTGGTCTGTTACCCGTCTGATCAACTATAGCTTTGTGAGGCCAGGTGAAACCGTGACATCTGAGAAGTACGCTCAGCAAATAGATGAGATGCACTGAAAACTACAATGCCTGCAGCAGGCACTGGTCAACAAAATGGCCCAATTCTTCTCCATGACAATGCCTGACTGAATGTTGTACAACTAATGCTTCAAAAGGTGAACGAATTGGGCTACGAAGTTTTCCCTCATCTGCCATGTTCACCTGACCTCTCACCGACTACCACTTCTTCAGGCATCTCTTTTCCTAGGGAAAATGCTTCCACACCAGCAGGAAGCAGAGAATGCTTTCTAAGAGTTTGCTAAATCCTGAAGCACAGATTTTTTTTTTTTTTTCATTTATTTTTATTAGTTGGAGGCTAATTACTTTACATCATTGCAGTGGGTTTTGTCACACATTGAAATGAATTAGCCATGGATTTACATGTATTCCCCATCCCGGTCCCCCCTCCCACCTCCCTCTCCACCCGATCCCTCTGGGTCTTCCCAGTGCACCAGGCCCGAGCACTTGTCTCATGCACCCAACCTGGGCTGGTGATCTGTTTCACCCTAGATAATATGCGTGTTTCGATGCTGTTCTCTTGAAACATACCACCCTCGCCTTCTCCCAGAGTCCACAAGTCTGTTCTATACATCGGAGTCTCTTTTTCTGTTTTGCATATAGGGTTATCATTACCATCTTTCTAAATTCCATATATATGTGTTAGTATACTGTAATGGTCTTTATCTTTCTGGAAGCACAGATTTTTATGCTACAGGGAAAAAAAACATTTCTTGTTGGCAAAAATGAATTGATTGTAATGGCACTTGTTTTGATTAATAAAGATGTGTTTGAGCCTAATTACAATGATTTAAAATTCATGATCCGAAACCGTAATTACATTCGCACTAGCCTAATACAAAAGGGCCCATGGAATAGAGAGGTTAGCATGATTGTTGATAAAGCTACTAGATGATATGAATTGCTCAATTTCTATTCTGTAGAAGCAAGTACTTCTCAAGCTTGCCTGAAGCACGTGCAAGGGTCTTACCCCAGTGGTAGAGCTCACATAGGAGTCCATGAGAAGACTGTCGAACATGGCGGCTTCTTCATTGATCAGCTCCACATTTCTCCGTTTAAAAAGCTGAAAGGAAAGAGAAGAAATGGTGTACAGAAACAAGGAACAAAGAATGACCTAATGTTAAATTGTGGCATGACTGTCAAGGAAATGCTAGTGTATGAGAAAATGCCAAACCTGATCTACTGATATGGAAAGATATTCAAGGGCTTTACTTTCTATGTTACATCTATTGTTTATATTTTTGGAGAACATTTTTATAAGCAAATCTTTTAAAATTTCTGTGCCCTTTGTATAAAAGGGCACAGATATATATATATATAATATACATATACACACTATATATATACCCTACACACACACACACACACACACACACACACATATGCCCTTATACACACATATATAAAAGGCTTCAAAGAAGAGAAATAAGGGTGGGCAAAAGCAGGTTAGCATCCAGACCTGGGCAAGGAACCAATTTGCTGGGGATGCATGGCAGAGTGCAGATGATGAAGCATACACACAGTCTCAGTTCTAGAGAGACAAAGAATGGACTCAGGAAAAAGAAGGCAGCCCAGAATGGTTGACAAACTTCTTAAAAGGCCAGTTTTGAGACTGGGCCTTGGAAGCCAGACCTAACAGTGACTACTGAGTAAAAACAAGGGGTTAGCACTAGAAAGTTATATTGAAGACAATTAAAATGACCCAAGTTGTATGAAATTATGGAAAAGGAATAAGGGACAGCTCTTTCTCAAAGCTTCTAACATTTCTTCACAACAAATGAAACTGGGTGAGTGGCCCACAGAGCTAAACTACTTTCCCAAGGGGAAAGTGAGAATGTAAGGTGGAGGCCAACCACGGTGGCTGAACCACCTCCCTAAAGAGAACATTTGAGAACACTCAGGTTAACGCACTTGTTGCTCCCGTTTCTGCTTCCGGAGCTGAATGCCCTCTTCCTCTCTTCTTCGCCTCATTTCCTCAGGGTTTAGGGCATTGTTCTTGTAACTCTTCATTCGATAATTGTCTTTCCCTGGGCTCGCCATGGTCTCTGGAAGAAGGGAAGATACACACACACTGGCAAAGGCTCTTAAAAGGACAGCATTTTCTGCTCACTGGCTTCTTTCCCCACCCACCCTCACAGCTTCCCAGTGAAGCCTGATAATCTCAATAACTGCCCCCGAGATCTCTATTACCACCCCCATAACAACAACACAGTTTCCTTTAATCCTAACAAGTTCATTAAATAAGTGCTGTTATAGCAATTGATACAAGCGTAATAGTTAAAAGGTGTAGGCCCCGGAGGCAGATTGTATGGATTCAAATACCAGCTCTTCCTTTTTTGAATTTGTTTATTTATTTGGCTGCCCCAGGTCTTAGTTGCAGCATGTGGGATCTAGGTCCCTGATTAGGGATAGAACCCAGGCCCCCTGCCCTGGGAGCATGAAGTCTTTAGTCACTGGACCACCAGGGAAGTCCCAACACTGACTCTACTTGTTAGCTGTGCAACCTTCAGTAAGTTTCTTTAACCTCTGTGCCTCAGGAGCTCATCTTTTTAAAACACAGAGTTGTTAGAAGGATTGTATAGCTTAACACATGTGAAGTACTACTTAGTCTAAGAAGGAAATGGCAACTTATTTCAGTATTCTTGCCTGGAAGATCCCACAGACAGAGGAGCCTAGCTGGCTAAAGTCCATGGGGCCACAAAAGATTTGGACACAACTCAGTGATTGAACAACTACTTAGAACAACACTAGGCATATGGTAAATGCTCACAAGCTATGATCACTTCCATGACAAGAGAAAAGTTGCTAAATAAGACTTGCTAAATAAGTGCAAATATATTTAACCTAGCAAGGTGAAATACAGTGTACCCAATTCAGTGGAATACCATGTATTTTTTTTTTAAAGTAACTCATATGGTCACCCTTCTATTTTTCAAAGACATTTAAAATTTTATTCTGTAATACTTGTTACATACAAAAAAGATGAAACATGTTAAGTTACCAAGCAAAATAATACAACGAGCATCTGTCAACTCACCACTAAATCCAAGAACTAGATTAATATACCTGAATCTAGTAGTAAGGTTTCCCCCATCCCAGGCTCCTCCACCCCCATTCCAACTCCAGCCAAAAGAAAACTGATATTATGAATTGTCATTATCTTTGCTTTCATTTTTATGAATCATATATATGTACACCCCTAAATACTGCATCATACTATGTTCAGTCTACTGAGAATTATACCCACTCCACTGGATTTCTAAGATTTACCCATGTTATTGAATGAAGCCTTATCTCATTAATTTTTCCTATGTTATATTATTTCACTGTATAAACACATCATCATTTGCATTTCCCCAATGACTAGTGATGTTAAGCATCTTTTTCATGAACCTGTTGGCCATTTATATGTTTGCTTTGGAAAAGTGTGTATTCAGGTCCTTTGCCCATTTTTACTTGCAATATTTGTGTTTGTTTGCTATTGAGTTGTAAGAGTCCCTTATGTTGTTGTTGCTATGGAGTTTCTCAGTTGTGTCTGACTCTGACCTCATGGACTGCAGCACACCAGACTTCCCTGTCCTTCACTATTTCCTGGAGTTTGCTCAAACTCATGTCCATTGGTTTAGTGTGGTTGATTTGGAGATGGTCGTATGGCATCACCAAGTATGTTATATATTTTGGATATTAATCCCTTGTCAGATATATAGTTAGGAAATATTTTCTCCCACAGGTTGCCTTTTCATTTTGTTGACCATTTCTCTCTTTTTAATTGTTTGACTCTGGAAAAATCAGAAGGCACTAACAGATAGCCACCAGATCCCCATGATGCCCTGAGTGAAAATAAGTCAGCTTAGATATATGACAGGCTAAAATCCCACTACTTAAGGCTCCAAGCAGTGAGAGAAGCAGCCATCAAATGCTGACCTTTTTTTCTTTGGACTGTGCAGAATCTTTTACATTTTCTAGTTTAAGCTTTCTAGTTTATGGGTTCTACTTTTTTATCTCTGCTTTTGCTGCTTGTGCTTTGGTGTTATATCACCCTCCGCCCCCCAAAAAAATCATTGCCAAGACTAAGGTCTTTTTTCCTGTGTCTTCTTAAAGAAGTTTTAACAGTTTCAGGTGTTACCATCAAGTCTTATGCCATCAGCTAAGTACCATGTTGCCTTCCAAAGTGATGCCAATTCATATTAGCTTAGCAATACACAACGAGTTCCCACTGATACTCATCCTATTACTCAGAACTGTCACTTTTGCCAATCTACTGAATATAATGTACTTCACTAGGATAAAGACTTGCATTACTAATACGGTTATTAGATTTTATATTAGCCATGTTTCCCTTTCTGTAAAAAATGTTTATGGTACATCAAATATTTTTCCATTGAATTATTTGTCCTTTTCTTATTGATTTATAGTTCTTAAGATATTCTAGTTATTAACTATTTGTTGATTATTTGTATTACAAATATTTTCTAGTATCTTTTCACTTTTTTTCAATTTTCACTTTATGGAGTTAACAAGTTCTTAACTATAATGTAAGTTTTGCTTTAATACTTAGCTCTTTCTGCGTGTCTTGTTTAATAAATCCTTTAATGCTCCCAAGGTCAGAAAGATACCCTGTCATGTCTTCTGAAAGTTTTAAGGCTTGCCCTTTACACGCCAGTGATTCATTTGCTTGAAATTTAATTAATTGTATATAAGCCTTAGGAAGTTAACATAAAGTTTGAACATTAATGACTTAGATACACAGGTTAGGGGAAAAAAAGTAGAAAGGAGAGAGAAATCATACAGTAGAGAGAATTAACAAGGGTAAAACTTGGATCTTTCAAAAGACTAAAAATAGTCAAGTCTCTGGTTAGATCTCTCAGGAACAAAAGAGGGCACAAATTTTAGAAATGAAAAAAAAAAAATAACCACAGGTAACTAAAAAGATTTAAAAAAGGGAATATGAACAACTTTATGCTAACTTGCTTGAAAAGACAAATTCCTAGAATAGTATAACTTGCTAAAAGTGACTCAGAATATCTAACTAGCCTTATAACCATTAAATATACTGAATCAGCACTAAAGAATATTTCCACAAAGAAAATGCCAGGTCTAAATGGTTTTATAAATGAGATTAAAAAGAAATTTTTTTTTTTTTGGCTGCAATATGCAGCTTCTAGGATTTAAGTTCCCTGACTAGGTATCAAATCCAGGCCCTTGGCAATGAGAGCTCAGAGTCCTAACCACTGGGACCACCAGGGAATTCTCGAGGTTTACCAACTTTTTAAATAAGTTGTTTCACTCTTACACATACTTCCTTCTGGAAAAAGGACATTCTTTTGATAACAATACCAAAGAAGGATAATATGAGAAGGTCCTATAATTTTCCTGTATCACTTATGAACAAGGATGTGCATGCTCAGTTGCTTAGTCATGTCTGAAGCTATAAAAATTCCAAATAATACTAGCACAAGGTGGGGGAAAGAAAAATTAGGAGTCTGGGATTAACATATACACTACCATATATAAGGTATGTAAATAACAAGGAACTACTGTATAGCACAGGGAACTACACTCAATATCCTGTGAAACTTATAATGTAACCTGTAATGGAAAAGAATCTGAGGGACTTCCCTGGTGGTCTAGTGTTGGGGACTCCGCACTTCGACTGCAGGGGACACGGGTTCAGTTTCTGGCTGGGAACTAAGATCCCACATGCTACATGGTGCAGCCAAAAAAAAAAAAAAAAAAAAAATCTGAGAAAGAATACACACACATATGCACAAACACACATATGCATACACATATATAAATGAATCATTCTTCTGTACACTTGAAACTAAAACACTGTAAATTAACTATACTTCACCAAAAAATAAAATTAAAAAGGATAATGAAATAACATCATTAATTGTACTTTAAACTTTTTCAGACAAACAAAAGCTGAGACTCTGTCTCTAGCAGACCTGCACTGTGCTCAGTCATGTATGACCTGTATGATTCTTGGTGACCCCATGGATTGCAGCCCACCAGGCTCCTCTGTCCGTGAGATTTTTCAAGCAGGAAAACTGGAGTGGGTTGCCATTTCCTCCTCCAGGGGCTCTTCCTGACCCAGGGATCAAACCCATTTCTCCTCTATCTCCTGCACTGCAGGTCGATTCTTTACCCACTTAGTTATCAGGGAAGCTCTAAGACCTGTACTAAAGAGAGTCTAAAGTTCTTCAAGTAGAGGGAAAATGATACCAGGAGGTAACTCAACAAATAGAAAAGGAACCAAAAAGAAACTCTGGAGTTGAAAAATATAATAGCTGAAATGAAGAATTCACTAGAAGGGTCCAACGGCACATTTGAGCAGGCAACAGACAGAAGTAGCAGGCTTGAAGACAGGAAAATTGAAATAATGCAGTCTGAGGAGAAAGGGAAAAATAATGCAGAAAAGTGAATAGAGAGCCTAGGGATTCATGAAACTCCAACAATCAAATCACAAAATATGCATTATGGGAGTCAAAAAAATGGGAGATAAAGGGGAAAAGAATTTTGTAGAAATAATAGCAAAAAAAAAAGACAACAATGTACACAGAGAGATACTCAATTTCAAGGAGAAAAATTCAGATCTACATCTAGAAACATAATCAAACTATTGAGAGCCAAATACAAAAGGAAAGTCTTGAAAGCAGCAAGGAAGAAGTGACTCATCACATACAAGCCAGTTTTTCATCAAAAACCATGACGTCCAGAAGGCACTGAGATTTTAAAATTTATAGATATTTGAAGTGCTGAAAGAAAAAAACTTTCAAAGAATTCTGTATCTGACAAAACTGTACTTCAAAAACAAGGGAGAAACTAAGATATTCTCAGGTAAAAACTGAGGGAATTTGTTACCACTAGACCCGCTCTATGAGAAATGCTGAAGGGAGTCCTTCAAGTTGAATGAAAGGACATTACACAGTAACTTGAAGCCAGTGAAGGTAAATACATGGGGAAATATAGAAGCCAGTCTTCTAGGATTTTTGGTTTGTAATGCTACTTTTAATTTTCTACATGATTTAAAAGAAAACGT